TTTACAAGTGGTTGATTACAGTTCAACAGTTTTCAACTTACCAAACAGCTTTATTCTGCAATCTTTTTTTTTTTTTCAAAAAGATTGAACAGAAATAAATGTTAAAATGAGTGGCACCAAGTTATTATCTCATCAACTTCCTCTTTTCCTGTTATGGCCAGAAATGAGAGTACAGACGTCAGGTGCACGTGGCGTCCAATCAGAGACATCAAATGAGGAGACAGTGGAGCCAGATGGGGATCGGTGGGACGATGAAGACTGGGGAAACCTTGAGGTGAATGCTGGTTATTCAAATTATGTAAAGTCGCTGTTGTTTTTTCAGTGCTTGACATTTTAGTGTTAAAAGTTATCTTACTCATAAATGCTGAGAAATTTTAATAATTCCTTATCTCTGTGCACCCACAGGACCCTGAGAAAGTACAAACAGATCCAGACGATTGGCATTCTGATTGGTCGGCAATGTCCTCAACACAGAAGCAAAGCAATGTAAGTGATTTGCATTAGCGTATCTTATAGAATAAAAGATCACTATTATCCTACTGATTTGTTTAGTGCTATGTTTTGTGTAAATATTGAGGACATATATACAATATCCATACTTCTATTTACTAAATGGAAAAACTTAAAAAAAAAAAAAGTTTTTAACCATATTCATTTGCTATATTAGTGGTTGTCTGAGGTGAGATTTTCAATGTATTTTATAAACATATTTCAAAATATATAGAAAATATTGTATGTGCATTGCAATATAATGATTACAAATGAGATAATACTATTCATTCAAATGTCACTTCACAAATAAATTATGTATTATCCATAAGTTGTGGCCTAATGGTTAGAGAGTCAGACTTGTTACCCAAAGGTTGCGGGTTTGAGTCTGGGTACTGGCAGGAATTGTCGGTGGGGGGAGTGAATGTACAGCGCTCTCTTCCACCCTCAATACCACGACTGAGGTGAGACCCTTGAGCAAGTCACCGAACCCCCAACTGCTCCCTGGGTGCCGGAGCAAAAATGGCTGCCCACTGCTCCGGGTGTGTGTTCACGGTGTGTGTGTGTGTTCACAATTCACTGCTGTGTGTGTGCACTTGCAGAGCAAAAATTCAGAGTATGGGACACCATACCTCACTTTCACTTTAATAGGGTTAATCTACTCTTGTTATGTTTCCATAGGTGGGCCGGAAGTCCTCTGAGGCAGTCAAGAAGCAGAGTTCTGATTGGAGCTCTGGTTGGGATGCCGACGACAGCTGGTCAAATGAGAAAGACGCAGATGGTCAGGGTCAAAGTTCACCTGCTGATGAGGGTTGGGGTAACGACTGGGATGAGGATGGAAATCTGGCTGAGAGTTTCACCCCAACATCTCGAAATAAAGCCTCAACTGGAGCTCCAAAGAGTGCCAGATTAAGCTCTGCGCAGCAAGGGGTAGGATTGGCCAGTGATTATAACTGGGATGGAGCGGAAGGAAAATCAACAACACCTGATCTGCTGTCCAGTGTGTCACAACGAAGTACAACGGTAAGGCTCTGGTGGAGGTATTTCCTTCAATTGTAAATTGCTAAAGGTGGCGGAAATCCATTCTGGATTATAGTTCCCTCCCAATGAATGATGTTTATGTATGATGTGTGTTTTTTTGTACACAGAAGTCTGATGGCTGGGACGCAGACAGTGCAGGGGGCTGGGGAACAGAAGAAAACTGGCAGTCACTGGATGGAGATCAGGGTCAGAGACGCATATTTTTTTTTTGTCCAGTTTATGCATTTAAACCAGCATATTAAAATGCAGATTCATTCTTGTTTTTGCTGTTAGAGAAAATAGAAAGTACATCTCAAATAACCATGCTTTCACTCCCTCAGGTTTAAGTAAAGCAGAATTAGCAAAGAAGAAACGAGAAGAGCGGCGGAAGGAGCTGGAGGCCAAACGGGCAGAGCGCAAGGCAGCAAAGGGTCCTCTCAAACTGGGCGCACGCAAACTGGACTGAGCACTGGAGGTACAACAGATCATTGACTCTTTGAAGATGAAGGGACTGCGAGATTTTAAAGAAACATTCCGTGATGGATTCTCACAGCTGTCTGTATGCTGGGCAACTTAGAAGAACTAAAATTCAGCCATGTCTGCTGACTGAGGAACAGCTAACACATCTCAAACTATGACATTCCTTTACTCTCCTCCGTACCATGATTTTTATATTCCACAATATCATAGTTTACTGAGTGTGCATGAACTCACTGGTTTGATTATTAGGAGTTGAGGGAAATTTGAACAATATAATCCTAGATATCTTTGTATGTATGTACATTGATTATACATTAATTATGGACCACTTTGCCCTGAATGTGGTCTTTGAGGACAAATGAAAATGGATGATGCAGAGAAACTCAAACATGTTAGCTGTTACTTAAACATGATCCTAGGTGGGACAATGCCATTACTAGTGCATGTATAAACACAGACGAACATTTTCAAAACAAAGGATTCACTTGACCAAAAAACATTGTAACTCATGAAAGCCGTTTTGTTCTTTCTTTGTTTGCCATATGACAGGGTGAGGGTGGATGTGCTTGTTACTTCTGGTTTGTGCCTTCTTTTTGCGTTCCTAGTTGGCGGTACTGCTTATGTTGTAAAATAAACTAATCAACAGACGATTTTAGTTAATGAGACAGTCTGTGAAATCTGGTGCAATATTTTCAGAAGGGGTAATTAATGTACTGTACACACAGAATTCAACTTCGTATGTATTATAATAAAGAGGAACAGTCTGTCTTTGGAAATGTGCCGTACAGAATATTGTTGCTAAATTGTTGTTTCACAGAACTTAAATGGTAACAAAGGTCTCATTGAACTGCCAGAAACACAGTGTTGCCTTCCAAAAATACATAACAGAAGATGAGGTGCTTGACTGTTTGTTAGTGGTGCGATGGCAGCCTGAAAGTGCAGATTTATGTTCTAGTCATCAAAAATCTAGAAATATCAAGGAATTTTAATATTATAATTCCCAGGCCTAAAAAACATGGATAGTGCTGCTCAGCTCTAAAATATTTAATTGGCTGAATTGTCTATAAAATAATTTCTATATAAAATCTAAAAAAAATATTTCTAAAAATCCTTATGTAGGAATGATAAGGGTTGGGCAAAGTCATGGGAAGTTATTGGTCGAAAGGTGTGGGAACCCAGTTTATTATTTATTAATTATTAACAACTTATAATTTATATTATAACCATATTTATTATAACCCTGTGATTAAAATGGAAAAATATCAGGGGTGAAATGCATTCCTGGCCTATGAACATAACTCAGGAAGGAAGGTTTCTTAAATTCAAACTGCTGGACAGTAAGATTAATGTATTTATTTCAGTTTCATTTCCTTATCTTTGGCCAGTGCTATATTTGTAAATGTTTATTTAAGGAGCAGTGGCAAATCCAACAGCCACAGATTATGTCATACAATATAATTGCACAGTATGGTTATGTTATCTTTTGTTAATATTTACCTTCATTATGTAGTTGACTCTTGTCTTAATGGATGTAATTGCAGTGTCATTGTGTTTGGCCCACTGATCTAATGACTGGATCGCTCATTGCGTTCTAAACTGCCGACATGCAGTGAAGTCACCGGAAGTGTTCGAGCCGCCATTTTACTAATCCCTACCAGCAGAGAGCACCATTGAATCACAGCTAAAACACTGACCTAAAATCACCCGATTTGAAGCGAGTCACTCACAAGGGATTCGTTTTTATGTTAGGTGTATGTAAATTCAGTTTTACTTAAGATGTTATCTGCAGTGTTTATGGTCTTTTTGGGCAGGATATTTAAACCGTTTAGGTGGGTGTGTCTGCTGCGCACTGCCGACATAGGTAACTGATCCAATACAAAATATAGTCTATTTCTTTATGTACTTAATTATTCAGGATTTATTCATCATGAACGTATTAGTATCAGAAATTGATTTGAATATATAATGAATAATACAATAGCCTCTGTTACTATATTGATTGTACTGAAATGAAAAGCTTAACTTGCCATGTCTTACATGCATGTCTTTAAGTCCATAATGTATGTCAGTTATTTCTCTGAATAAATTATGATGTGTATATTTTTAAAGTCCTGACTGAGAAACATCTATTTCAGACTCTCCAAGATCGCGCAAATGTTTACTAGCATTACCGTTTCCATGTAAAATGTTATGTACAGTGGTGTGAAAAAGTGTTGGCCCCCTTCCTGATTTCTTATACTTACAAGGCGAATGAAGGTATATGTATATACAAATCTTTCTTCAGATTTCAGAATGAGCACTTTGTCATTTGTTATATATATGTTGAGCTAGGTCGTGTCCGTCTGATGTTTATCATGTTCATGATGTTCGCTACTGTAATGAAGTAACTTTTTAATAAGCAGGGGAAATTCCCGACATTAAAAAAATAACCGTTTACATGCCTAGAGTGTTTGCATTGTAAGAATGTACAGGGATACTTCAGATTTTAAAACGCTGACTTGTTAGGTGATGTTTTCTCATTAAATTCGTACGATTTCCTATTAATTCAGTAGAACGTTTACGCACACTAGGGATTACCAATATGGCGGCGCGGCGGCTTCACTTTCATGACGTCATGAGCAATCCAGTTCTCGATTATAAATCAGTGGTTTGGCCCCATTCACTTCCAAGTGCCTCAACCTTGATTCCTGCTTCTTCTTTTTTCTTTTTTTTAAAGAAAATAATGGACGAGTCAAAATGATTTTCCATGGTGATCAACATGCCACGAAATGCTGTTGATTGAGCTTAACCTGCATTCACCCTACATAATTTAAATCATTGAACATTTAATTCCATCCATTAGAGATATTTAATGTGATGTCTCTAATGTCGGTTGTTCAATTGCTATGCAAATGGTAACAGAGGTCCCATTGAGCTGATGTAATGCAGGCCAGCTATGCAGAAATCTTCCAATTTTCTTGTGTAAATGGTAATCTTGCACCATGGAACTACAGAATTAATTCAGTAAGTAGCATCTAGGATATGCTGGTATAGTATAATCACATCAAGAAATTAATACAGACACCTAGTATATGATGTCAAATATTTAATGGCACAAAAATAGAAACATGGCAATTTATTTTAGGATTAATTTGGTCAAATATTCAGCCTATTTTTGATTATATGGTTATTAAAATGCTTGAAATGTTATTAGAAAACTAGTATAAAGAAAAATATTAATTTAAAAAATCCTTCAGGCAGAGATTTGTCAGTAGCAGTAGTCCTCAAACAACAACAGATGGGATTTTGTTTGGTTGCTGACAATCTCTTAAATTCTGTTTATGAATATTTCCATTTGTGCTCATAAAACTAAGCTTGCTTAATGCATACATTAAATGTTTTAATTATTTCCATTAAATGCAATAAACATTTTACAGACATTAAATATCAAAGGCAGTTGTGCTTTCACTTCTTCATTTCCCAGTCTTTACTGTTTCTCTTTGTCTTTTGAACCGAATATGGCTGCAGCAGCAGCAAGAACTCCAAAGGTAGCTGCTACAGCAAGACCAACTCCAACACCAATCTCCACTGCGTTCCGCACCTATGAGAATGGTCATAAATTATTTATATTAATTCACTGTATGATAGGCTAAGCACACATCACTATTCCAGTAGCGGTATTAACATTAAATGACATGGCATCTGACGCACAGAAGCCATTAGCACATGCCACTATGCTCAGTGGCACATCCGGTGACACTTCCGGTTTTCACTGACGTGTCAGTGAAGAGTGGCATGTGCCACTGACACTTGTGACGTGTCGATGATTGTCACAGAATGTCTGCCGGAACGTAGACTGTGTAACACACGCACCTAACAGCTGATCGATATTTAATTGATGTTTCAGTAAAAGTTTGCCGTAAAAGATTCGACTGTAAATGTGGTATTCGTAGTGACCCATGATTGATTAATTCTGTGTGTTTCCTAGAATGGACAGTTTGCGTGATCAGCGACATACAATAGCACTGGTATTACACAACATTCAGTGGCACATGCCACTCAAATAGCCTACATGTTTGGAAAAAAAAATACCAACTTGTAAATACGTATAATTGACATTTATTTAAAAATCACTAAATTAGTCTATTTATTTAGGCTATATAAAACAAAATGTATAATAAATATAAATACATATATGACACAAGACAAATATTAAACGCATGAAGAAGCCTAATGGTTGTTGTACAAATTAACTCCGCCATGTAATTAATCCTATGTTGACAGAAACTTACCATCAATTAATTAAGCATATTTCTGCCAATAAGTGTGTGTGTGTGTGTGTGTGTGTGTCATGTCATTTAATGTTAATGCTGCCTCTATCAACATTAAATATTTTACCATAAAACAGCCCTGTTAATTACTGAAAGTATATTCACTACTTCACACTATATCTTCGGTGATGTTCAAACTGTACCTGGCGGGAATGTGGTTTTCCGTATCTCAGCTCCGTAACAAAGTGCTCACAGTTCTCTCTAAAGACACAATATGGAAGTTCTCGTCCCAAAAATCTGTGTGCATCCTGTAGAATCTCTCGAACAGGACGTGGCTCATATTTCTCATCCAGAAGATTGTTGATACAGTATTCATCATTCCCAACTACTTCATAAAGTTCTTCTTTCTTCACTGTAGCTTTGTCACATAATACTGACATCATACTGTAGGGTCCAGCTTGAGCATCTTCAGCTATAGAGAAAGAAAAGGAAAACAGTCTGTAAAACGCTTGACCTTTACATGTCATTCATGAGACTAAAGGTCAATTCACACCGCACAGACAAACACCAACAAACGAGTTGGCCTTTGGATTTAGAATTTTATGAAAAACAACTGTGTTCACACTGTCCCAAAAGACGCTGACAAACGCTGATTGAACATGTTCACTCGGGTGAAAACAAACCCGACCAATGCCGACAGACAAAACCCAACAAACGTGTTTGTTGGCATTTGTCTGTGCAGTGTTTCAGACTGAATGCAAATTAAGCTCAATAGACATGATTTGAGGCATGTAAAATACTCACAGGGTGGTGCCAGGTGAATCACATAACC